GCCCCCACGGGCATATTTGACCCCAGTTTTTATGTAAATAAAATATTTAAAAATAATAAAATTATAAAATGACAAAAAGAAAATGCAAATAATAATAATAATTTCATGTATAAATGTGTTTTTATGTAAATAAAATATTTAAAAATAATAAAATTATAAAATGACAAAAAGAAAATGCAAATAATAATAATAATTTCATGTATAAATGTGTTTTTATGTAAATAAAATATTTAAAAATAATAAAATTATAAAATGACAAAAAGAAAATGCAAATAATAATAATAATTTCATGTATAAATGTGTGTATGTAATCTATTATAATGTTTTATGATAAATGCTTTATTTTCAGATTTAATGTAATGTTTTGAAATCATAATCATATTGTTAATTACCTGACTGTTTAGGTGTGAAAAGCAATAAGACATATTTTAGTAAAGTTTATCTAAGTAATTAAATATCACTATTATAAAGAAACTAAACAGACAAGCCACACAAACACGAACATTCAGTAATTAAATTTTATTGCATACGTTTCCGCTATATGCCTTCATCAGTGCAAAACATAATAAAATTACCGGAAGTGACGTCATAACAGAACACGCGTTAAACGCGCGAAAAATGTTATGGCGTTTAGCGGCAAAACTATGATAACATGCAGAAACAAATATTTATGCTATAAATAAAGCTGGTACATGAATTAAAATGGATCAACAGTGATACAGATGTCTATTAGAAAGTGTTAATAAAAATAAGATAATAGACAAACATATTATTAATATTCATGTAACGCATTATAAATCAAACAATACTTTATTATTTAGTCCATTTTGGAATCATAGTATTTAATTTATGAAGCCAAAAAGATTCTTTACATAACCGGTCCATGTTGTTTTCTATAATTTCTATAGGCAAAAATGAAAAATCTGACAATGAACACTTATTATCTTTTGATCCGAAATGGATCGCAACATGTGAAACTGGATTTACGTCACAATTTCTTATATCAAATCTATGTTTATTCAATCGGCATGATTCATTTTGATTAGTCTGACCTACGTATTGCTTTTTACAGCCTTTACATGTAATGAGGTAAATTACATTACGCATAGTACAGTTAACATCATTGTGTAAATCAAAAGAACGACCTGTTATGCTGCTATTAAATTGTGAACCAACAATTATATTGTTACAATGTGAACATCTACTTCGTAAACATTGGCTAGATAAAAATGTGCGATCAAGTAAAGCACTTCTCATAAGATAATCTCGAATATTTTTAGGACCTCTATATGCTAAAATAGGTTTGAACTTGGTATGTATATTTTTAACGCTTTCCTTATCAGACAAAAGTAATAGATCCCAATATTTATTTAAGATTTCACCAATATTAGGCAGAGATGTATTAAAACATACAGTAGAAGGTATTATTGAACTAGTATTTTTAACGACAGGACTAAGAGCATCATTTTGGGACATGCCTTCAATTTTAGAAAACGCTTTCTCAATAATAGATTTAGGATAATTTCTATCAGAAAAATATCTATTTTTTTTTTTTTTACTATTATAAAGACACATAATTATGTCAGTCCTTTTGATACTTAAGAAGATTATTTCACTTTTAAGAAATCTTTAATGGTCATTATCAACACTTTTTGGTTCATTAAGGTACTATTTACCGGTATACTTTATAGCTTACAGCAAATAATGCTATAAGGAAATTATGTAACATAGTTACAGGATATTATGTTTTATACCTTTTTTCATAAGATTATTTTTATCCAGATTAAGAATCATGGAATACTCAATACTCAATTTTTCATTGGTTAATGTTTTTCTTATTATTTTTCATTGGTCAATGTTTTTCAATTTTCATTGGTTAATCAATTAATCATTTAAATTAATAATACCTGAGAATAATTTATATAGAGAGACAAAAATAAGTTAAAACAGAATTTTTAGGGTTATTAAGACAGAATTTGAAATTTTTTAATTAGGAACAGGATAGGAATTATTAAGAATGAGAACTATTAAGAATCAGAATTAATGTAAAAGTGTGTTAATGGAATCTTGGAAACATTTTGATAAGAAACATTGTGGACTTAATATATTTTAATAAAAGAAACTTTTAGAAACTTTGTATGGAATATTATATTATTAAACTGTGACATAAATGAAATCAATAAATTGAATAAGTAATTAAGAACCTTTGTGTACATCTTCATTTCATCAAAGTTATCTGCTATCACACTCTACATACCGATAGTAAACTATGTGACTGACTGATTGGGGTGGACACTTCATATTTTGTATCGGGACTCAACTTTGATTATCTAACATGATTGGCACAAGTCCCATAACTCTGATTTGCTTTTTTGCATAATTACGCCCCTTTTTCAACTTAAAAATTCTTGGTTAAGTTTTTGCATGTAAGCTAGCTGGTATCTCCATAACTACTGAAGGGAATGGATTGAAACTTCACACACTTGTTCTCTCTGATTATCTTACATGATTGGCACAAGTCCCATAACTCTGATATGCTTTTTTGCATAATTATGCCCCTTTTTCAACTTAGAAATCCTTGGTTAAGTTTTTCCGTGTAAGCTGGTATCTCCATAATTACTGAAGGGAATGGATTGAAACTTCACACATTGTCTTGTTCTTTGTGATTATCTAACATGATTGGCACAAGTCCCATAACTCTTGATTTGTTTTTTTTTCATAATTATGCCCCTTTTTCAACCTGAAGTTTTTGCATGTAAGCTTGTATCTCCATGACTACTGAAGGGAATGGATTGAAACTTCACAAACTTGTTCTCTGTGATAATCTTACATGATTGGCACAAGTCCCATAACTCTTGATTTGCTTTTTTGCCTAATTATGCCCCTTTTTTGACTAAGGAATTTTTGGTTAAGTTTTTGAGTGTAACCTGGTATCTCCATAACTACTGAAGGGTTTGTGCCTTTTCTGGGACAATTTTATGCATTCATAATAATAAAGCATTTTTTACTCGATAAATATCTTAATAACAAGCCTTTGTACCTTTTTGGACAATTTTATGTATTCATATAGATAAGCATTATTATACTCAAATGAAACACCCTTATAACAACTTTTTGAATAGTCGAGCGTTACTGTCCTCCTACAGTTCTTGTTAAAGGAAAAGAGTTAAATGCGCAAAATATTTGTTATGCAGAACGTGGATAAAAGGTTTTTTTCCTGTACTGATGCGCTGTGTTAAAAATAATCTTTGTGCATGCATTGATCAGCCATTGCTCAAGCCAATAGTTTGACATTGTGTTAGATTGATATCAGCCTCGTACATCGATCTTTCTGTTTAGGAAAGACCTGGTCACGAGTTTCATGAAAAACCTCGAGCGCGACACGCTCTCAGTGTCACATGAGTTTTGTGACCAGGTCTTTCCTAAATAGAAAGACCCCGTACTCAGCCGATATCCTATACATATACATAACCTATGACACCAGGGGCAAAATTTAAATTTGGTGGAGGACAGAATTTGGATAGATGTCATCATTTACCAAATATCAAAGCTTTAAGCCTTGTACCTTTAGACAAGAAGATTTTTAAACATTGTTATTATATGTACATAGTGAAAATCAGTGACCCCCGGGCTATGATTTGAACAATCTTGGTAGAGGCCACCAAGCATAATGTTTCATGCAAAATATCTAACCTCTAGCCTTTATCAATTCAGAGAAGAAGATTTTAAGTTTTTACTATATACATATAAGGAAAAACAATGACCTTTGTATGGTCTACATGTACGTCAATTAGTAGCTCAATAATTGTTTTTCTCTCATACAAAGTTTCATCATTTAAAAATGAAAGACAAATCGTTATAGGGCCATTATCAGAATATACTGAATGACCCTCGTACATCCAGATGACCCATGCTCAAATTTGAGCAAAATATCATTAAAAACTTCAAGCCAAATATGATGTTACAGAAAAATGAAGATCCAGTCAAAATGGTATCATTATAGTGCTAACAAGACTTTCCTTATATTTGACCTAATGATCTAGAGTTTAACTCCAGATGACTCAAATTCGAACATGATCAAGACTAACATTCAAACCTAGTTTTAGGTTTAATTGAAATATATGTTCAAAGAGTATCATATTTCACTTTATCAGGTGAATATTGTTTTATATTGTCCAACAATATCATTAAAGACGTTTTCTAGAGTTTTCATATAGACATATAGGCAAAATTAAAACTGTTCAATAGAATTTCTTTAAACTTGGCATGTTATTAGATTATGATAACACAACAGTTATATGCCCTTAAATTTGACTTTTTTTGTTAAATTCAAGGGCAGATAATTTACAATGAAGCAAAACAATACAATTTTATCTTCTTATTTTCATGAAGAATACCTTCGTCTTAGTCAATATGCAAAATTTCAAGAACAAATTTAGAGTGGATAGTTTTTTTCCCACTTCTACTCTTAATTAACCTGTGCATCTTTTCTTAAAAATTGGCCTATTTTTTATGAATTTGAAGTACCTTTTTCTTTCATTGAAAAAAATTAACAGAAACGATACAAGAAATTGCTTGTGTTCATGTATTGTATTCAACAATAAATAGGAAAACATTATCCAGAAGTAAAAACAAGAATTCATTTACCTATGTAGAAGTTTTCTGCCCTTTAAATTACCTCAAATAAGTAGAAAATTCTGATTCAGGGGCAGATAACTCAAAAACAAGAACGGTGACCCCAATTTTTTTTTCGCTTAAAAAGATTGTTATCATGCTCTAACAACATGCTAAGTTTAAAGAAATTCTATAGCACAGTTTTAATTTTGCCTATATGTCTATATGAAAACTCCGGAAAACATCCTTAAATAAAGCATTCTTAGAAAGCTATTGAAGATCACAAGTTCATATAGTAAAGTCAATCATTCTAAATTTCTACATCATTTGGGAAAATATTGTTAAAATGGAGTTTTGATTATAAATATATATGTATATAAGTATACTGTATAAGTTGTCTTAGCTTGTCCTGGTCATTTCCTCCTGCACCAACAGCACAACCGAATGTTATATAGAGCAGAGACCCGAGAACGCCAGCCATTCCAGTACCACTAGACCACGCATTCACCATCTTACTGGGAAGTAATCGTAAATATCCAAGAGCAACACTGTAATTCAATATCACTATCAATAATGAAATACAACATCAACATCAACCATCAATTCAAGAGTTACCAATTGTTTCACTTTTTCTAAACACATCAGAGGAAAAATATTATAGGAAAGACTACTTTCAAAAACATCATTTTCTTGTTCAAAACATAATTCAAATTTCAGTAAAGATCATATTCAGATTAATGTCATACATAAATTATGTCTTAACTTTACTCCATAAAAAACAAACAACTGATTGCATGACCAGACGGAGAATATTTATTGCAGATAAGATACTGAGCAGCCGAGAACAAAAACAAACATAGCCAAAAACGCCATAAGCGTCATGTACAACAAATTTACCATAAAAGTACATGGTAATCATTTAAACAACTAACATTGCTGACTAATTTATAACGTTCTATGTATTATATTGTTCATGTATTTACTTTTAAACTTAACAATAATACAATATAGCTGTATAGTATAGAAAATTGCCAGCATCTAACGTAATGAAATGTTGTAAGTACATGCAATACAAAATACAATTATTTACGTTGTTATTATTTTATCGGCTATAAACGCAATTCGACTCGCCCAGGAAAAACCAGAGATATTTCTTCTAATAATTATTTTTATGAAACTGCTCTGGAAACCTGTGTCCGTTTGTCAATGTCGAATTACTGAACGTCGGACCTCATTCTTTCCCAGTTGAAACTAAAATTAAGCTAAATAAAAGAATAAACATATGATATGTTATAAGTGAGAATGAAAGAAAAAAAAATATATACATATCCATAAAATTATAAAACACGAGTTGTTAACGCTGTGAAATCGTCTGGTAGAGTGACCAATACACCTTAATATTTTACACGCCAGTACAGTATTAAAATCTCGAAAAACCCGTGCTACTACAACCAATAAAAATTGCCTACAAAATTACGTCACACAAAGACAAATATTTCACGCTATTCGATGAAACACGTGAAAATAATACAACATGTCCATGTTGACATAAGTGCTGTTTTGTTGCAATATGTTAACTAACAAAGTTATGACAATTTTAGCTAAATTCAATAAAACCTTGACAGTCAAGGTCATTCAAAGGTCAAGCCCACATTTGAATAAATCATCATGTAATTTTCATCCATGAATGAATCAAATCCATGGATAAAGAACAAAGTCATTACAATATCAGGTTGTCAACTTCTATTTTTCAAATGGTCAATTCTGTCAAAAACTAGAAATGTGTCCATAGGACACGGATGCCCCCACACGCCACTGTTCTGTCAATCTTATGACTCTAGGTCAAATATTTTTTGGACTACATGTGCCACAAGTTGAAAACTAAAAATCAACAAAGGGCCATTATTCTGTTAAATTTGGTCACAGCAAAAATTCCTTCCTTTACTACCATCTACACATTAAGGTTGTTCATCCCTGGAAGTTTAAGCAAAATCTGCCATCCAGTTTAAGAGGAGTTGCGTTCACAAAATTTCTACATAGTATATAGTGAAAAAATCAACAAAGGGCCATAATTCTGTTAAATTTAGTCGCAGCAAAAATTCCTTCCTTTACTACCATCTACAAATTAAGGTTGTTCATCCCTGAATTTTAAGCAAAATCTGCCATCCGGTTTAAGAGGAGTTGCGTTCACAAAATTTCTACAGAGTATACAGTGAAAAAATCAACAAAGGGCCATAATTCTGTTAAATTTGGTTGCAGCAAAAATTCCTTCCTATACTACCATCTACACATTAAGGTTGTTCATCCCTGGAAGTTTAAGCAAAATCTGCCATCCGGTTTAAGAGGAGTTGCGTTCACAAAATTTCTACATAGTATATAGTGAAAAAATCAACAAAGGGCCATAATTCTGTTAAATTTGGTCGCAGCAAAAATTCCTTCCTTTACTACCATCTACACATTAAGGTTGTTCATCCCTGGAAGTTTAAGCAAAATCTGCCATCCGGTTAAGAGGAGTTGCGTTCACAAGATTTTGGGACGTACGGACAGACGTACGGACGGACGGACGGACACTCGGACGGACAAGTGCAACGCTATATGCTCCCACTCTGTGGGGGCATAAAAAATTTTGATCCAGGATGAATCAAATCAGGTGAGTGTAAGCTATGAATAAAATAACTTTAAATTGATGGTAAATGTCATTTAAAGTTCAAGGTCAAACTTGAATAATTCAATATTATGGGCTCTTTTGCTTAAATCAAACATGTAAACATAAGAAGGCAATGATGGCCCTGAATTGCTCACCAGACACAACTGTTGTTTTTTTTTTCGTCTAAAATCAGTTTGACTTCCTATAAAATTTACAGGAAAGAACAGAATATAAGAAGAGTTTTCATTGGTCAAATGAAATCTGGGAATCTCATTGGCCATTCTAAAGAAAAAAGTAAAGGATAGATCTTGTCATTCTAAAATAATTCTAAACTAAAATGTAAATGATAGTTCTTGCCATTATTAAATAAAATGTACAGGATAGTTCATTTATTTTCTAGTTCAATTTATCAGGTAATTAAGTTCTGTTTAACAATATTACCTCCAACAAAACATTTTACACTGCATTAAGATTTTCTAGTGAACAGTCTATTTTACATATAAACTTTCATAGCGATTATGCTCTATGAAGAGTGAGGCGATTACTGGAGATGATGAACTTCTTGAGTTAATTTTATACAAGATCTGAGTTTTACATTTTGTTCAAAATAACGAGAATAATATCAGAATTTATCAGGTACCCTAAGTTTATGATGTTCAAAAAGTGCTTTATATATTATATGGTAACTGATGTGTCCAATTGACACAATGTTTATAATTTTCATATATTTTTGCACACAAATGGAAAGATTAAATGAGACTTACCTTAGGAAGTTGAAGTTTGATCAATAGTTTATCAACCGCAATCACTTTTGGGATCACACAGAGAGAGGAAGCTGGCTTATCAGCAACACTGGTCAGTCTTTAGAGCCATCATCAGATCATGTCAAGTTTTTAAACATGATCTAGTGATGATTATGCGTAAAGAATCAAACATATTTAACAGGGTGGGTAATTGGGTGGGTGTGTGATCCCAAAAGTGATTGCGGTTGATAAAACATCGATCAAACTTCAACTTCCTAAGGTAAGTCTTGTTTAATCTTTCCATTTTATCAACCGCATATCCCTTTTGGGGCCTCACATAGAGATTTAAGACTTGATTCTTTAGTGCATTTAAAATTATGCAATTTTTTCTTTGAATGAAAGGTAAAATTAAAAGAACTATAGATGTTGTTGTCATTATTTTTAATCTAACTTCTAAGTTAGGTTCTAACAATTTATATTTTCTAATCTAAACTAGAACTATCACTAAATGTGATTAATACCCCCACAAGACTGCTTCGGAAATGAGGATGTTACTAGTAACAGAATATCTTGTAAAAGAATTGAAATATAGAGTTATGGTTGTGGGCAATTAAAGATAGTTGTGGTTCTTGTATATTGCATTTCCTTTCAATGTGGTTGGCCATTGATGAAGTTTTATTGAATTACTCTGTAATAAGTCCAGAAAGACAAAGAAAAGGAACAAAGGGCAATAACTCTATAAATACTGAAGATGGAGTTATAGTTCTTGTGCACTGCACTTCCTCTTTTTGTGCTTGACCATTGTATGAAGTTGTTTTGAATTTCAACCAGTACGTTTTAAGTTATGCTCCAGACAAGGAAAAGTATCAAAGGGCAGTAACTCTGTATTTTGTCAAAATGGAGTTATGGCTCTTATGCACTGCACTTCCTTTTAATGTCCTTGACAACTGTATGAAGTTGTTTTGAATTCCAACCAGTAATTTTCAAGTTATGCCCCGGACAAGGAAAAGTAACAAAGGGCAATAACTCTGTAATTAGTCAAGATAGAGTTATGGTTCTTGTGCACTGCACTTCCTCTCAATGTGCTTGACCATTGTATGTAGTTATATTGAATTCCAACCATTAGTCTTCAAGTTATGGTCCGGACAAAAGAAAGCAATGGAAAAGTAACAAAGGGCAATAACTCTGTAATTACTTTAGATAGAGTTATGGTTCTTGTGCACTGCACTTCCCCTTATTGTGTTTGACAATTGTATGAAGTTGTTTTGAATTCCAACCAGTAGTTTTCAAGTTATGCCCCGGACAAGGAAAAGTAACAAAGGGCAATAACTCTGTAATTAGTCAAGATAGAGTTATGGTTCTTGTGCACTGCACTTCCTCTCAATGTGCTTGACCATTGTATGTAGTTATATTGAATTCCAACCATTAGTCTTCAAGTTATGGTCCGGACAAAAGAAAGCAATGGAAAAGTAACAAAGGGCAATAACTCTGTAATTACTTTAGATAGAGTTATGGTTCTTGTGCACTGCACTTCCCCTTATTGTGTTTGACAATTGTATGAAGTTGTTTTGAATTCCAACCAGTAGTTTTCAAGTTATGCCCCGGACAATGAAAAGTAACAAAGGGCAATAACTCTGTAATTAGTCAAGATAGAGTTATGGTTCTTGTGCACTGCACTTCCTCTCAATGTGCTTGACCATTGTATGTAATTATATTGAATTCCAACCATTAGTCTTCAAGTTATGGTCCGGACAAGGAAAATGCAACGGACGTCTGGACCGACCGACCGACCGACCGACCGCCCGACCGACCGACCAACCGACCACTGGGTGACTCCTATATACCCCCCCAAACTTCGTTTTTGGGGGTATAATAAACATTTAATTATTTCTATTCTACGTAAAGCAAAGAAAATTGTGTAACAATGTTATAAACATGTTAGAATAACTTGATGCAGATATAATTGAAGTTGTCAAAGTTCTTTGCTCAGTGAGATATATTTTATGGCACTGTTAAATACACAATTATTTTTTACTTGTTTGTATTGCCTCTTGTACTGTTTTTTTCTGAATGGTTTTATCGTAAAACTTGGCAAATGTTTCTGCCCCCTTCCATCCAACTGTTTTTGCGATTGTTGTTAGAGGCACCCCTACGTAGT